AATAAACGAAAGCTACAATTCAAATTTTTCACACTTTCGTAATGCAAAAACGAAAATTACATAAAGAAGATGAAATTGAATGATTATTTTGCTTAGAAGAATTTTTTTCACTGTGGATAATTTCATAGATTTTTCAACATATACATTTAATAATAATAATAATAATAATAATATAAAAATATTCATTGAATATTCATGGACAATATTTATTTTATTTTCTTGGAAAATAAATATACACAAGGAAAATATTTCACAATAATATAAATGTCTAAAGACTATTATTTCAGATAATTGATCCTCCACTTTCTAAACACCAAGAATAATGATACTATCAATGATGACGCGGCTGTAGGCGGTTAATAACATCAAATAGAAGAATCAATGCAATGATAATGTAGTTGGTTCAATTTAAATGGAACAATGATGTGACAAATGATGCCTGACAAATTTATCATTTTTTGTACCTATCTATATCTTTACATTATATATACAGTAGAATATTTATTATCCAAATATTGATCATTCAAATACTGATTACTAAACATTAAATATTATCCAAATAAGATCCCTTAAACGTCAATCATTCAAATATGGATTACTAAATATCAATTATCCAAATATGCAATTATCCAAACATTCAACTTGGTGAACATTGATTACCCAAGTAAATTATGCAATTATCTGAATTATCCAAATGTAAATTACCAAATATAAATTGTTCAAATGTGGATTATTAAATATGAATTATCCAAACTTGGATTACTTAAATGTCAATTATTCAAATATTAGCCAAATAGATTATATAAATATCAATTATTCAATTTTGGTCATCTAAAGTTATTTAAATGTCCATTATCCAAACATAAATCACTAAACATTGATTATCCAAATATTCAAATTGATGAACATTGATTATTTAAATGTAAATTATCTAAATATCAATTATGCAAATGTGCAATTATCTAAACGTTATTTATCCAAATATAAATTATTCAAATGATTATTAAATATGAATTATCCAAACGTGGATTACTTAAATGTCAATTATCCAAATATTATCTAAATATAATTACTAAAATTAGTGAATTGATCATTGAAATGTAAATTATCCAAATATATTATATAAATATCAATTATCCAATTATGGTCATC